CCCCAAAACCCCAAAACCCCAAAACCCCTGATTTAAAGAAAACACTTGAGGTTTATATTATTTTTATAATTTTAACATGTTGAGTAATATCCATCACTCTGTAAAAGACAACCTTGAGTCTTTCGGACACAAGCATACCCATCTCATAGCTGCCTTCTGCCTCTATGGTGTATACACGGTGGGATCCACTGCTCTCAGCTGATCTTGGAGGTTGTTCAAGACCTTCCTGAGGCCTGGCAGAAACTTGTTCAAGAGGTATCAAGGAGGATATGTGTTGGTAACCGGAGCCACATTCGGCCTTGGCCTGGAATATGCCAGACAGTTCGCATCCAAGGGCTTCAACTTGGTCTTGGTCGCCAGAAACCAAGAGAAGTTGGATGGTGTAAAGAGAAAATTTAAAGAAGAGTTTGGAGACATCGACATTAAGTTAATTGTGTTTGACTTTGACAAACCTTACACTGCTGAGGGCTACCAACCTCTCAAGGATGCACTTAATCAAATTGAAGATATCTCTGTATTGGTCAATAATGTTGGGGCCTTAAAAGCTGATTACTTTAACGATTTGGATATTGATATGATCAATACAATGCTGCAGGTTAATCTTGTTCCTCAGACAATCATTACAAAGTTTATGCTTCCCAAACTTCTAGAAAGATCAAAGAATCAGGGTAAAAGAACTGCAATTATTAGTCTAAGCTCAGTAGCTCATTATACTCGTATGCGTCGTTCAACAATTTATTCAGCTACAAAATCATTCAATAAGACTCTTTCAGATGTGCTAAGAAAAGAGTATGGTGAACACATTGACATTATGGCTGTGCTTCCAGGAGTTACTAAATCTCAGATGATTACCTTTGATGCTCCTTTTGTTCTTCAGCCTGAACAGCATGTAAGATTAGCTTTTAAATTCAATTTGAGTATGAACCATTCGAGATTACCACTCAATGTACCATAGTATTTAAATGCTTAGACCCACTCAAAGCATGTATGCTCAGTGGAATATTTTATAGTTCTAATTTGGCAATTGATAGAATCATAATGATAGAATCTAACAAGTATCAAAATTAACATCTCTCTAAATCAATGACAGTATAAAATCTTGAATTCTGATAATTTGGTATCTACAATTTACTGTAAAACTACTCTATCCTTCTCCTGAGATGCTCATGCCCTATATTCTTCTAAGCTTAGAATTAACCGAAACCTAGATCACTGCTGACCATGAGAGGTGGAGTCCCCGAAACATTTCCATAGGTTATTTAGATTTACCCTCATTTAAAAATGATCCAGATCTTGAACTCTTTGAGCCTGGAAAATAGCCAGTAGTCCTGTTTTAAGTAAGAAAATAGTTTGAGCTGTGACACATTAGCAAATCTTATAATAAAAGAACGCTATATTATGGCTCCTAAAAGTTCTCATAAAATAGAGTTAGAAGTTAGCTTCTGTCATATGTTTAAATATTTGACTTCAGAATTAAAAATGATAGGAGCTGCAAGATCAATTTAAGCTCCCACTTTACTTTCTCAATAAAACATTTTCAGCTTGAGCTGAGCTATTTAAAAGAGCAGACACTAAATAAAGTTCTAATGTTTAAAGATCATAGATCTCAAATATACTTCTAACCTTTCAAACTTTTGTTATATCTGACCTATTCTAGGTTTATTATTCCCAAATGTATAATCCATTAAAAGTCTAGCCTTATACCATCTTTCTAAAGAAAGAACCTTCCCATCAAACCTCTAGATCTTTTATGTTAACTACTTCTTTGCCAATCTAATACATGAACAATAAAACCTAGTCTCCTTGAACCTCTTAAAAGCACGCTAGTTCTCTCTTATGTTAACTTTGGTCATTCTTTCCCATTATGAGTGGGTCTTATCCTCCATTCGCATCTTGAAGTAATCTCCAGAAGGTGTAATTAGCAGGCTAGGCTCGGAAGAGATGGAAATGGCTAGGAAATGAGTGATAAGAAGTTTAGTGATAGCTTGTGAATAGTGTGCAACCGCACGAGACTGATTCGTGCATTCTTAAGATCAGTAATTAGTTTATTCCTTTATTGAATTTGACCTGAACAAGTATTCATTATTCTACAAATTTTGGAAGTAACCAATACTTCATAGGTAAGATGGACCCTTAGCGACCTTGGATACAACAGTCAGACATTTGGTCATTACAAGCATTGGATTTATGGAAACGCCTACAGACTCCCTGGCTTTGAAGCCTTCTATACAAGGCTAAGATTAAGACTGCTTGATCAGAAGAAGAAAGAGCAGGATAAATAGTTTCAATTTCTGGTATATCTTTTGGGGTTTTGGGGTTTTGGGGTTTTGGGGTTTTGGGG